GAGGGAGGGAGGAGGACAGTCACCTGCTTCTCAACTTCATGTCCTGCTGCTCTCAGCCTGAACAACAAGTCAACAAGGATGAGAATCGAGTCAGATCAAGAGAGGGAGGGAGCGGGAGGAGCCAGTAGGAGCACCTTCCGGCGTACAAGAGCTTCGCAAGGCCCTCAGCTGCGGTGGCTCGGAGCAGGAAGGAGCCGTTGGAGAGGGACTGGACGACTTGCTGCCACACCGACGTGCCGGCAGCTGAATCCCCTCCTACCTCCAGCAAATTCTCAGGCACCTGTCGATCTGTCAGGACCTGATCGCTCCCTCCTCCTCCTCCTCTCCCCCTCCCCTCTACCTTGTTCCAGTCGCTCTGCTTGAAGACCAGCAGAATGTCGAGGATCGCGCTGAGAGCACAAACCTGCAGCAAGGTGACCTGAAGGAGCCAAGAGGAGGGATGAAGGTAGGAGGAGGAGGGAGGGAGGGAGGAGGAGTCTCTTCTTGCCTGGAGCTTCTCGGTGTCATGTGCGAGGACTTGGAGGAAGAGCGGGATGTAGCTTGCGGCGATGTGCTCGTCGAGCAAGCAGAAGAGCCCCAGGCATTCGAGGGCCTCCTTTCTGATATCATCGTTCTCGTCCTATCTCTGCACGTCAGAGGAGGAGAGGAGGAGGAAGGGGAGGATCAAGAGGGAGAGGGAAGGGAGAGGAGGAGAGTGCCTGAATCATAGTCTCGCAGAATTCCTTGACGAGATCGGGGATGCCTCCCACGGCGATCTGATCGAGCCGGGTGAAGGTGCGCAGGAGCTCGCTGCTCACGACGAGGCATCGGTGGAGGAAGGCCTTGGACGCGTCAACCTCGGCGAACTCGAGAAGCTGAAGGTGAGCGAGCAGGTCAGCACTGACAGCCATGCCCTCCCCGTCACTTCTTCCTCCTCCCTCTCTCCTTCACATTCCCCCTTCCTCCATCTCTGCTCCATGGAGGAGAGTTGGGGAGCAGCAGGAAGTCCGGCTGCGGCTGACCTGCTTGAGGATTCCGGCGATGAAGGCGACGAAGCTCTCGCTGTTGGACTCGAGGCAGTGGAGCCCCGTCATGACGTGCGAGATGAGCGACATCGGCTGCTCCTGCTCCTCCTCGTCAGCATCCTTTCCTCCTCCTCCTCCTCCTGCCTCACCAGACTCAAAAGAATGCTGCCCAGCATAGTGTAGAGCTTCTTGCGCCCGAGCTGACCTCGCGGGATCAGAAGAGAAGAGAGGGGCAAGGGGAAGGGGAGACGGGAGGAGAGAGAAGGAAAGCAAACCTCGTCGCCAAGGTCGAGGAGCGGAACAAATTTGAGGAGCTCAGTGGTAACGAAGGAGGACGAGCCCATGTTGGACTCCAGCACTTGGCAGAAGTCCGAGAGCTCGGGAAGAGTCGCGTCCATCATGTCGTCGTCGTTCCTCTCCACAGCCACCTGCACAGATGATTCTGGTGAGCTTCAACCGTCCTGCTCCTCCCTCTCCCTCCTCCCTCTGCCGTTCCTCCTCCCCCCTACCTTGCCAAGGACCCTCCAGTAGAAGGCCTCCTCTGCTTGCAGCGCTGATCGGTTCTCTGGCAGGAAGCTGGCAGGGCTCTTCAACTTTCCGCTCCCCAGCACCGCACGCAGGGCCCTTTCGGTCGCCTCCGAGTAGATCTCGACGTCGAGCAACTTGAGGAACGCGATGGGGTTGCCGCTCCCCTTCGCTACCCACTTGTTGCAGATCATGTCAGTGCAAGCCTTCCTGACCAGCTCATTTCTATCCTGTAGCCAGGCGTCAGATCCTTCCCGCGCTCTCCCTTCCCCTACCTTGAGCCCGTTCTCTACCAGGAAGATCCTCTGGGAGATCTGGAGCGACTTGACGTCGATCTTGATGGAGACTACGTTGTAGGCGTACTTCCTCACGTCCTCCCGCACATCCCTCGTCCTCTCCAGGATGAAGGGCAGCGTGACTGACGACACGCCCATGTTGGCCAGCACTGCCTTCCTGACTTCCTTGCTCGTGTCGTTGGACACGAGGCGCACGTACTCCATCGTCACCGCATCGCTCAAGTCCGTGGGTCCTGCAGCCTAGCAAGTGCTGCGGCTGCATGCACACGAACCACCGGCACCTTGTCGTGCAGCCGCGCTAGCATGGCGTGCAGGATCTCGTCGAAGAGCTCCTCCGACACCTCCGCGTCCTCCCCGAGGCTGTTGAGCAGCTTTGCCGTCAGCTGGCAGGCGCGGAACCGTACAGCCTTATCGCGCGCGCAGGTCAGAGGGATCATGCGCTTGAGGAGGACACAGGCAAGCTCGCCGTCGCTAGAGTACTTGTCGTTGGTGAATGAGATGAAGGAGGCAACAAACTGCAGGAAACGCTCTACCGCTGGCTCTCGTTTGAAGACCAGCATGGCACGATCGATGGACTGAGTGAGGGCGCGCTGGAAGGTGTCGGGGTCTGCAGATTGCGCTTGTTTGAGCTTCATGATGCACTTTCGGTGAACAGCAAAGGACTTCTGACATTCTTCCAGCTGTTCGATCACCTGCAGGAAAGTAGATTCTTGTTTCTCGGGCATGGCCTCGCGAGTTTCAAGAGGATGCAAACAAATGCGTCCTGAACAGACAACATCAGTGGAAATCAAAGAGTCGTCTACGTGGGATTGCTTTCATGTTGGTTTTCACAGTTTCCGGCCTTATGCATGCAAGAATGGTTGTGATTGTGCTAAATTCTCATCTTCTATACCATCCTCACTTTGATTTGCAACACTTCCTTTTCTTCATGACTGTCTGTCGTTTACATAGTTTCACACTCAAATTGTTCCCATAACCCTCCTGTTCCTGCCATCACAGCTTCGTTGCTACCTCCCTGATGCTTTTACCTTCTCAACTTGTCCAGTAGCTGTTCACTCAACTCCTTCTCTTTTCCGTCACGTTCTTCTCCTGTCCTGCCCTGTCCTGTCCTGTCCTGTCCTGTCCTCTCGATCATATCAAACAGCCCAGAAGGCGTGTTGCATTGCCGAAACAGGGAATTAAGGACACCGGTATCATCCCCACCCCGTACTCTACCTTGAAAATTTGGGGAATAGGGTAGGTACTCCCTCACAATCAGCTCAACTTGAGGAGGTAGGGTAGTCCCTCCCACAGAATTTGAAAATCCAACCTCCCACAAGACCACCCACCCTCCTCGTATTCCATAACCCTACCCACCCCTTGCTCGATCAATTGCGTGAACCCTCCGTTTTCCCACTTATTACCCACAGAAATCCACTATTTTAATTACCCCTACCCCCTTTATGATCACTATTACCACCCCCTGGGTCAACACGAATTTCGTGGAGGACCCGTCCGATATGTACATTACCCACATCCCCCATCTGACCAGCTTGTTCAGCCCTCATCCCCTCCATTGCCCAATCACTTACTGCCGTCTGCCCTCATCCCCGCTCATAGGGGGCCGTCCGTCTCCAGGACAACCGGTGGAGGCAGAGGTAGGGGAGCGTACAATCTTCAAGAGGGGTGGTGGGGGTAGATCATTATCCTCTTACACCGGTACTTTTGATGATGATTTATGGGGTAATCAGAGCCAAGGCTCGTCGAGGTGTGGGTGGGGTACTTGTCAGTAAGAGGTTCAATGGGTCATGCTTGCACTCGTCAGAGGTAGGGTGGGGTTTGGCGGGTACCATCACCCCCCTGATTCATATATAGAGAACGGGTGGGGTGGTTTACGGGCACTACATCCCGAAAGCTACACCCCATGAATGGACCCTTCCCCTTCACTACCCCACCCCCTCAATCTCGACTACCCTTCGCTTTCTCAACCACATTGTTGAAAATTACCCTCAATTTACTAGTAATATGGACGGGTAGTCAAATTATGATTAGGTACCCTACCCCAACATCATGGAGCAGCTGTTCTTGAACCCCCCTATGATCTGATCCCACGACCCCATTTGGGTCTCCATCAAGTGATGGGATCACCGGTACTTTTTCCTGTATTGTGTATTTAAAATGACCGGTACTTGACAACCCCTACCCACCCAAGTCATTCAGTAGTATGACCACCCCCCTCGTCTTTTTTGTGCGTCTACACCTCTAGTTGTACCCACCTAGTTTTGCAAGGACCCCCACCACCTCAACAAAAAAACTTGTGACCCCTACCCCCTGTTACGTACCAGGACATTATCCATTTTATAGAGAAATTTCAAGATGACACAATTTTTGTCGCACCCTTCACCACGAACCCTCATTTTAACATAAATATCTAGTAATAATATGGGTGGGTAACACAAATAATTTCAGAATTTGGGGATAGTCACCTTGGGAATTTTCAAAAAGGTACCCTCACCCACCTGGATGAACTCAATTCCGTTTCCACCCCATCCGCCTATACCCCCACCTGGTACACAAAATTCTGATCCTAGCATTGGCCGCATATGGCAGGTCAAGGACGACGAGCAAGAGGAGGGCAGGGGGGGGAGAGCGGGGGAGGGGGAGGGGGAGGAGAGCGAGAGCGAGCGAGGAAGCAGGGAGATATGATGATTCAGATGCAGGAGAGAGTCGCAAGAGGAGGCTCAGGCAGAGGAGGAGGATTTCGGACTGGAGGATACAAGCAGGAAAGTTTGAAGGTGGGATCAGGACACAGCAGCGGGAGCAGGTGGCCGTAAATGAGAAGAGCAACAACCTGAGAATAGGTTCGGAAAGCCATGCTGATTCCGAAGCTGGGCGGTTGAGCTACAGGGGGAGACATGGGAAGATCGTAGAGACGAAGCAAGGAATGGAGAGGAATGGGTGGGAGTAGGCCAGCGCCGGCAGCAGCATGTCAAGTCGCTATGTCGGTTGGCAAGGCAAGTAGACAGGTGGACAAGCGGAAAGTCATTGAGTCAGGCATGTGTATTAATGTATAGAGATAGATTGAGGCTTGCTGGAGAGATGCTGAGAGAAAGAGTCGACGTAGTCCGCATGGACTAGTTACAAATTGGGTTTTGGGAGGACTCCATCCTTTGTGCAATACAGGAAAGACAGAAGACAAACATGTGAGACGCTGGCATGTCTTTTAGGATGATCTGGAACGAATGTTGACAGAACTGATATCCACTGCCCACATCTCTCAACTGGGAGGGACATGTCTGCGTAACGAGTGGCAAGCAGAACTAGTTAGTCATCAGATTTTCTGCTTCCCTTTGCTTGTTGCTCTTTGGCGATTATCACATATGTGCATTCTTAGTGCTTCCTTGAGTTTCTTGCCTTTGACGAGAAGTTTCCAGGTTGACAATGATACCTTAGCATCCTTGCGCTCAGCGGGGCAGCAGCAGAAAACTTGGAGCCTGTTGGTCGACAGTCGTGATGTGTCAGCGCATGGTAGGAGGAGGGGCCCTCGCCGAGGTCTCTGAGGAGGATGCGAAGTTGTCATGCGAGGGGGAGGAGGTCGAGTGATCGCCGAGGGGTCGGCAGAGACGATCTTGAGGGCTCGTGAGGATGGGCGGGACGATAAAGCGAGAGGAGGTCGAGGAAGGGAGGAAGAGAGACGCTAGCCACCTGGGCGTGCAGAATGAGGAGACGCCGGCGATGAGGAAGTCAAAACTCCTGGCAGCAGTTGATGCAGGTAGGCTAGAGACCAAACCCCTCTGCTCTCTCCCTCCACTCCCCTGCCTCCGCTCCCCCTCTCTCCTCCCTTACCCTCTCCTTCCCTCCCCCCCCAACCTCTCTCCCCGTCTCTCCCTCGCTCACTCCTGTCTTCAGAAGCAGGAGGGAGGAAAGAGAGAAGCAGCGGCGCTGCTATTTCGATGGTGAGATGCCTTCAACCGGTTGCGACGCTCCTGACACAGCGCAGAAAGGAATCTTGAAGCATGCAGCAGCCCGGGATGAAGTAGGAGAACTCCCTCCCTCTGCCGCGCTGTCAAGGCGCTCAAGAATGGGGGCAGTGAGGAGGCAGACAAGCTCCTCCTGGATGACTTGCGTGTTGGGCTCGCGGGATGCGAAGGAGTACAGGGCCTGACAGGCGGACAGGCACCGAGTGCGTATGCTCACTATCGACACAGTGACCCGATCCGCTCCATCCGTGTATGTGCAAGACATCTCCAGATATCTGTCGCAAGAGCACAAGGTGAAAGTGCCCGCAAGTGA